GTGAATCAAACAAAGAAAAAAAAGACTATAATAGGAAATATGATTCCTATAATAGTTTTCCTTGTTTTTTAATCAACCAAACAACCCCAAATCACTAACGACGTAAAGGGTTATGCTAGGAAAGTCATAAAGATTAGGATCTATTGTCTAACACCCAGGTTCAAGATTGTGAGGAAAAAGCTCAAGAGGGTAAAGTTCAAAACCCTCTTGTTCTTGTTAAGAATTTTGGAGAGGCTACTTTAAGGTGGACAAGATAGTTTGTAGAGAGGAAAGAACTGTGGAGGAGAATATGTAGGACTTGAAAGAGGAAAGAGAGTTTTTGTATTAGAAGTTATTTTTACAACTTTGATCTCTATAGCTTTCTTTTTAACTTGATGCATTACAAGCATCCACTCGTGGGGTATTTATAGGCACCCTTGAGTGCTTCTACATCTCTCTTCTTCTATACACTTCTATAAAAACTTCATGGCAAATATTAGACTATTCTAAAAACTATTCTAGCGAAATCCTATATACTCTTCTAGGCTCTCACCGTTAGGAAATTTCTAAGACAGTACTAAAACTAAAGACTTCTAAATATTTCTAGAATATTTAAAAGAGTTTTACTATTAATGCACCCACTCAAACTCTTTTGACCATGTCGAGTTTCTCCTTTAGATTTTCAAACACTTCCCCTTTCAATGCCTTGGTAAAGATGTCTACGACTTGATCTTCTGACTTGCAGTATATCAACATCACGATCTTCTTCTTTTTAGCATGCTATCAGATGTAGTGATATCTTATCTCAATGTGCCAACTCTTTCTGTGTGTCATCGGATTGTTAGCAAGATCTATTGTTGACAGGTTGTCCACATAGTATCGTTGATCCTTCCTGCTAATGGCAAAGCTCTTGCATCAAGTTTATGAGCCATATAGCTTGACATGCACATGGTGTTGCTGTGATATACTTTACTTCACATGTTGATAGTGCAACTACCAATAGCTTCTTTGAGCACCATGAAAATGTAGTGGACTCAAGTTAAACACGTTCTAGAAGTGCTCTTTTGTCCATGAGGAAGAGAAGATTGATTCAGCTTCTCCTTTGTTTAACATGTGTTCGATGTGGCGATGAGATGTCTCGCCCGATGCTCATGCCGGTCTTACTTCTCATTGATGATGGGACCAAGATTGCTTCAACCCGATGAAAAACTAGCCTCTGTCGAGTGCTTTAGCTGCTACTTGCAGGTGTTGTTTGCTCTTGACGTATGTGTGTAGGCATATAAAATTGCTTATAGGTCCCTTAGCACAGTTCGGCATAAACCGACGAACCAACGAGGCGACGAGATCGACGAATCGCACGCAAGCGACGGAATGCATCCATACGCGTTCGGAATCAAGCCAAGTGTCAAAGAATCAACGAGTCATCTAACCGAGAATAGACTCAGACGAATCACGATCGAATCAAGATCAGTTTCGGACTCGAACTCAGAAGTGGATTTACTGCCAAATCAGGAATCAGACTTACTGCCAAATCAAGTCAACAAATCGAAACAGAACCGAATCACAGAAAGAACCGGAAACAACGGAAAACAACCAAACCCACCACCTAGAGGGGCTCGGCCGAAGCCGAGCCACCTTCAGGTGGCTCGGCCCAGAGCCGAGCCACCCTGAGGTGGCCGGCCCAGATCTGTGCCTAGGCACAGATCTGGGTGCCTATAAATAGGAGAGGGGGTGTTCATTTTCGTTGGTTAGAATTTCAAGAGCCAAAACTCTGCCGGATTGAAGAGTGAACTCAGAGCTTTGAAGACTTGAAGACTTGCACGTACAGATCTGATCCTCGGCGAGCACCTACGTCAGAAAAGGCAGGATTTCGAGAGGAGGCAAAGAACAGATCTGAGATCTACACGATATCACACTCCGGATCTAAGCTTGGTCTTAGATCCCGAGATCTGAGCGATTATTCCCTTGGTGGACTAATCCCTCCCGGCTATTATTCCCTTCGTGGAATAATACCCGTATAATCGTGTAGATCCGACCGGATCTAGATCGCGCGGTGGTCCACGGATTAACCCCGGCGCAGGCAAAGAACCCACCAAAGCGAGCGACCGCAAAACAGGAGCTCGCGATTTGTTCACAAAAGGAAAGTTGTAATTTTTCTTATTTTTCCTTGATTTAATTGTAACCGGATCTAAAAAAAGACCGGATCTTTTGTAACCAAAAAGCAATTACTTGAGATAACAATGAATTCAATGAAGGCAATTTTCACCGCGAACAGCCGG